TGGCTCCTTGAGCTTTAAGTTTTTGTAACTTCAGGCTCTCTGTTTCCTCTGCTTGTTTTTAATCATGAACCGCAACAAATTTAGTATCTTTCTTTTTTCAAACAGGCAAAAAAAATTATCAGTTTATATGCAACATTTGATTTATGATCCTTATTATGGTAGTGAAGTTCTGTGAGCTTGAGTTTCAGCTACTGAGCAAACACTGAAAGATAGACTGATTGAAGAACAAGAGTTCTCTCGAACGGAAGTAAATTCTGGTGTCAATGAGAAGAACACAACTTTACGTCCTTCAGATTCTGAAATTCTTGTGGATTCTACGTCTCTTAACTATGTGACAAATGAAAGTGAGAGAGTGGGGAAAATAGTGACAGAGAATGTTCAGCCAGAGAAGGAGCTGTGTTTGGAAAGTCTATATCAGAAGCCAACCACACAGGGATTCTATTGTCCCAATTGTAAAGTTTGTATCCAGAAGGTCTTACTTTTGGATGCAGCCGTGGAAGAAACGAGTCCTCCTGCACAACCTCCTCCATCACCTGATACATTCAGATGCTCATCCTGCTTCAGTTTCCTCATCCCAATTGGTAAAATCTTATTTGACATGAACAAAATTCATATGACTGCATGTATATATGTATATGCATATGTATCTACATGGATAAAACTTTAGTCAAGTTACTTATATACTACCTCCAGTCCCTAATATAAGAGCTAGTTGATTAATTTGAGTAGATTAAGAAAATTAATTACATTAGTTATTTGTTATAAATATGTGTTATTTTTCCTAAAATATCTTTGCTAATCAAATGTATTGGTTAAAACTACCATTATTATAAGGACTACTTTGGAAAAAAAATAGATAATTATGAGAGACAAAATGAATTGAGATCTTATATTTAGGACTAAAATAAAAGTTAAACGAGCTCTTATATTAAAGACCCGAAGTAGTATATCAGGTTAAGTTTTTCAATTACACATGTTATTTTGCTATTGTTAGTTGTTAAGATGCGTATATGCATTTGAAAATTCACCTATGAATTTGACATAATAAATATAAATAACTTAAGTTTAATCCTATATATATATATATATAGCACTAGTTCATTTTTAACAAGATACAAAAGCACTATCCCTTTAAGGCTTGTTCGAACTGGCTTATAAGCAGCTTTTTAATCATGATTTTCAGAATATGAGGTGAGCATGTAAGAGAAGTTTTGTCTGGCCTTATGTGAACGTGTTTATTCATTGTAAATATAAAGAAGACCTTTGGCTGCCAAGGAACTATTGATTTGCAACTAGATTTGAACGTAGTCAGATGCTCATCACTTATCAATATTCTGATATTCAATGTGACTTGGGTTAAAAATTTCTCTGCGTTTATCAACAGGTAGTTGGCTCTTCCCTGAGCGGACACATGGCAATGAAGTGTCAACCAGTCAAGGTAAAGTATTTCCTTGCGGCATCTAACTTATTGGGCAATTCACATACATATTTGATGATTTCTTGAATGATCTTACCCTCTGAAAAGTGTTAATAACAAGTTGTTTACAATTCTAATTTACCATTTGAATTGAGATTAGGAGATGGTCTCCTTTCTGTATGATGCTTTTTGTAACAGTATCTACTGCTTAATAGATCTCCCTGATGCTAGAATGATACATTATTGTTTACTTTTGCTGTTGAAAATCAACGTAAATAGGAGTTCAACAGTCACCAGATCACTCTCAGGAAGAACGGAGTGATGAAAGAACTAAAGCTGCACGAGAAATTACAACTCAGGGTCCTGATCAAGTTAAAACTGGAGCTGATTCAGGAAAACAAATCCTGCAACCTCATCGCGTGATGGATGATGGAGCAAATGAAGCATCCAATGAAGAAGAAGATCATAAAACCAGAGGTCCGCATTTATTTTTGAAGAATAAGTCCTGGTCGTTTAATGTTCATGAACTATGTTACCAAAGAATTTAATTTTTGTTCAGTGTCATATGTAGGAACGATAGAGCCTAGGAAATCATTCTCTATTCACGGAGAACTAGTAGTCTTTCTTGTTTTCTACAGTACTGTTCTCATTTCTAGTCATTACTTTTTTCACATGGTCTGCATATCTAGGAAGTAATCTCGATTGTAATATCAAATTGCCAGATTCTTCAAATATCTGCGGTGAAATCCCACGAGATGAACATGACCAGGATGGATCAAGGAGCAGACAACCGCTGCAGCTCGAAGAGGTTAAAGTTGATGACAGAATCTCAGGTTTGGCATCTATCAATTGTTTTGACATTTTTCAGCAATCAATCCTGCAATCTTATCTGATTATGACTACTTCACAACTTAAAAATTATGCTCTCTTAATATATTGTAATGAAATGATGTAGTGTGTTCCTGGAACAGCAGTTCCTCGGAGCACAACATTACCTACGACGACACGAACAGATGTAGTTCAGGAATCAGGAAATAGCACGACATGGGAAATTCGGAAAAGCATTGTGTATGGTGGTCTGAATGAATCTATAGCAAGCCTTAGCATTGTGACATCTTCAGCAAGTTCGGATGCTACCACATGTAAGACTTAGTCTTACCTCAAACTTCATTTCTTTTCTCTCCCTTTGCTTCCAAAATGATTATTCAAGAGTGCTACCGAATCAATGTTCTGTTTGTAATAACTAATGTGGATTGAACACTAAAGATGATAGTTTAATTTACATAATTACTCAATATTAGTAAAAAAAAATAATAATAATAATGCATAACATCATTAAATTAACTATATCACGTTATAGTTAAATTGATTGCTACTTTAGCCTCATAATTTTATGGAAAGAGAAAGATCTCTACTGACCTCTCTCTCTAATTTCTCTCTATTTAATGTTTCTATCACTAAATTAGATTTCAATGGCTAAGATTTATTTTAAAAGAATATTATTAAAATATTAAATAATAAAAAGTATATAAATAAATATATACTGATAAAAATTTGATATAAATAGTTTAAAATGGTAAATTTTTATTATATGTAATATTATAATAATATTTTTACTCAATTTTAAATCTCAACCATTAAAAGATTAAGATATAAGTTTAACCTACAAATAACCATTTCACAATACATCTGGCACAGTTAACAATACCTGAAGAGCTTTACATGTACACATAACAAAGTAGCAGGCATTGGAGTTGAATATGCCTTTTACATCGACAAAGAACTTCTATTGCTGGCTAACTCATTGACCTAATGGTATTCTTGTATTCACCAATTTGAATTTGCAGTGAACGTTCTAGTTCTGTCTCTTGCAAACCTGATCGGTGGCCTTTTCATCCTTGTTCATAATGTGAGTTACTTCCAACGCATGCATTTTTCTGTTTGTTTAACAACATGATACATTTATTTTGGAGCTATACGTCTGTATATTTCAGTCATTTCTGGAGCTACTTCTCTCTCTCTCTCTCTCTCTCTCTCTCTCTCACACACACATCAAATGTCAAGAAAGCCGGGTATAATAATTGGAAAGAAGAGGGGCTATCAAGTGTTTCTTTTTTGCTTAAAAAAAAAAAAAGTTTATGTGAGTTGGTCTCGGAAGCTCATCAAAACTAAAACATACCTCCATGTTTAAAAAGTACTTACAAATCGTTTCACCGACACAATACTTACACTTGCAATGGATTTAAATTCATGATTTTATGGGTCAAGAGTCAACTACTTACCAACGGAATCAACCTTAGCCGGCAGCATCAAGTGTTAGTTAATCAAAATACATACACCATTCATCATATTCAATGTCTGTATATACATACACACACATGTATGTATACATGTTTCTTGAATTCGAAACTTGAACACATATGTTGACAGATATGGGACCTGAAATCTGAGGAACCAAAAACCAGCAATCAAACAAATGCACACGCCGATCGATATTATGAGCAGGTCTTGGGGAAGAGAGAGAATTTGTTTCTTCATGTGTGCATAGCCGTACTATCATTCATCATATTTGGGTTGGTGCCACCACTGGTATATACCTTTACATTCTGTGAGAGCAACAATGAGGATTTGAAGCTGGCAGCAGTTGCAGGAGCTTCTGCAATTTGCATCACTCTCCTTTCACTCGCAAAAGCTCACATCCAGAGGCCAAGCACATATCTCACATATTTCAAAACAGTGCTTTACTATCTTGGCACTGGGGCTATGGCTTCAATATTTTCTAACTTAGCTGGTGAATTATTCAAGAACTTGTTGAAAAGCTTGGATGGTAATTAAGGAACTTGTTGAAAAGCTTTGATGGTTTGACCCACCTCGAGGCTTTACCCTCCTGCTTCCTGAGATGACTATAGGGGGACCCGGATTTGGATCCTACAAATAAGTATTAAAACTGAAGGCTCAAGTGCATTTTAGAGGGTGCCACGCCAATTGTTGAATTATGTATCAAAAACAATTTGGTTCTATTTTTTCAAGTATTCATATATCTTATGATAAAATACTGTGAAGTGGCGTGGGAAGAAATGCTTTTTCTTTATCCTCTTTATCGCCAACATGAGAAGAGATGTTGATTCTTTTTTCCCATGCGGTCACAATGTTGTCAATATGTGGGAATTAGGACAATTAATTTGTGGACCATAGCAATGTATTAGGGTTTAATTAGGTATCTGAATAAAGCCTCATAGTCATAGGCTTTATTCAGATACCTGTCTTCTTTTTTCTTTATTTGGTGACAACTAGTACTTGTCTTTAAATATACATTCAGTCACTTGTACTATTGATTGTTGAATTAACATGGTTGACCTTCGTTTTTTTGAGTGAAACATGGTTAACCTTTAATTGCTGCCTGCTGATTTTCGATTATTGAATTATCTTCCCAAAACTAAACATTGGTCTCTTCATTTAGATGATCTTGGAAACATCTAAGCTGTCCAACTTAATTTTGCTCATTCATTCAAGCAGCGTCGTAATATGAGTGCTCTGGCCTCAGTACGGATATCCTGCCTGTGAGGTAAGAACATGAAAAATATGTATAAATAATGTTAAGAATTAGAGAATGAATCAGTGCAAACACACATGAACCAACAAAATCAAAGGAGATTTGAAAAATTAAAATTGACACTAAGCTTTCTTCTTGTTAAATTTACTCTGTGATTTTCACTTTAATAGTTATCAAGTTAGACTAAAATTGTCATCGCAAATATACTAGTAGGTGAGAATTCTCAGTCAGATAATTGTGATCAACCAGGTTCTAAATTTGCTGCACCAGGTTCATGAGATCATTGCTTCAGCTGACACTGACATCAATTCCTCTTTGCTTCAAATAGCTCTTGGCCTCAACAATGTCCTGAAAACATCCCAAGTATGCAAGCATTTCTGTGATAATGTTGAATTTAAGACCTCAAAATATCCAGTGCAGAATGAAAAGGCATACCTGCTGCAACAGCAGGGCCTCTTGAGGACAGGTAGGAAATTGCATGAGACCTACTCCAACCATTAATAAGCCATAGCATCCTAAAGATACAACACAATAGATAGGCAGCTGGACAGAAGGTATAAACAAGGCATTGTGAGTATTAGACAGAATACATTCTACTAAAAGGTAAAGAAAACATATGAAAACATGAGCACTCACCAACCACGTATGGCTGCTTGGAATCGTAGAAGTTTGTAAAAGGCCAACCCATACAGTGGTAATGGCCATTAACAATGTTATAATCTTCACAATATGCTTCATTGTTTCAATCTGCAACCAGTCTTGACACCTGAAAGTTTCAACGGAAAAGAAGAGGAAAGAGTAAAGCCTCATAATTATCAAATCCTTTTCTATGTTTTTCTCTTTATATGAAACAGCATTTACTTTCAAATGCTTCAAGTTGAGACATAAAATGTGGGTTTCAATGAAGAATGCCAATCATAACACGATGCAATCAGACATCAAACCTATGCACAACGCCCATGACAACAACACTAGACAATAACCTGTATGTTGAAGGCGTTCAAAAAAAAGAGCTAGAACACCTTAAATACGACAAAAATAGTTAAAAGGAAAACTTGTGAAGTACCGCACAACAACTAAGAACGCTGCTGATACTGATAGAACAGCAGAGCACTCTTTATTTTCAAAACTTGCAGCCATCGGTCAGGTTAAATATCATACTAAAATATAACCGAAGTCACACAACAAAACTGCCATCAGATGGGATCTCAATGAAACTTTTTTCACTGTTTACAATGACTATGATAGTCAAATATAACTCAAAGCCCTTGCGCAATCTCCCGGCATCATTTGGCAGTTTCAAGCAGATATACCACTCCTTAACAGAATCCATACCGCTTGATTAATGCAAACATAAACATTAAACATTTAAATTCATTTAGAATAAGCATAGCGATAAACCAGATAACAGCATGCATATTGAAGGTTTTCAAACACCAAGATGAAAACATCTAACAATCCTTTTTTTTTTTTGGCCAAACATCTAACAATCCAATGAAAAGTGATAGGAAAGGGAAATTTTGTGAAGTTCTCTACCACATCTCAGAACTCTTTTGCCGAAAGCAGACCACAATAATCACAAGGCATAAATAATGTAGCTTATTCCTCAGGTTGGTCCATGCCATACCCAGGGATTGACTAGTTATTTTCAAAATCTGCAGCAAAGGCTAAGGTTAAATGTCATTATTAAATGTAGGTTACAATGAATGAACATGTTGTCCGTATAGTTCCCCAAATTTTTAACTTGGTCCCAACACTTAATTTTCTGGTCACTTGGACCCTATACTCCCTAACACCAGTTCTATGAAATGCTGTAAAATTTGGGATTTTGGATAGATTTAAAAGGGGCATAATGGTTTCTCCACTTTCTTTTCTGATGCAGCAATGTATTGGTGACTTGGAAAGCCGCATGGATTAGGTGAATTGCCACATAAAGTTGAGCGCATTTTTATGGACGCTGACAGCAGAGGGTGTTTTACAAATATTTTGTACCTATAGGGCGCAACATACAAAGAATAAAGAGCGGAGGACCAAATCACAAATTTAGTGAAACCGTAGGGATCAGGAGTTCATTCTAACCTCAAATATATGTCAAAGCATTTGCAACTGCCATCAGATGGGATCTCAATGAAAGTTTTTTCATTGTTCACGATGATTACGAAAGTTAAAATATAACTCAAAGCCCTTGCGCAATCTCCCAGCATCATATGGCAGTTTAATGCAGAAATAACACTCACCAACAAAATATATACCGCTCAATTAATGTAATCATAAACATGCAAAACTTTTTGTTATTCATTGATTCCATTCATTTCTCAGATAAGGAGAGTTTAAAATCTTGATACTTCCTTTCAAATCCTTTCTCTAATTCTTACTCATTATCCTACTAAGAAAAGGTTTCATCTCAATAAGCCTATTTAAAGTTTTAAACTCTAAAGCGCTTTGTAAGACCCAGCCTTCTTTTCCTCAAACAGCAATACGAATACGATCCTGCAGCGTGGGCGCGCGCGCAGAGAGAGAGAGAGAGAGAGAGAGAGAGAGAGAGAGAGAGAGAGAGAGAGAGAGAGTAAACAGTACTAATCCCTCCCCTTCTTCTTCGATATATGGGAACATGTACAATCTTGCCCCTTACAGAATCGAAGATGAAAACCAACCAAAAAAAAAAAAACCTTTTCAGGGGAAGACACTTTCCCGTCGACGAGGGATGCTTGTGATTTGTGATGAAGATGGATAATCTCTACAAAGGTGTCTGCCACAGTGTGGCGGCGTTCCCTGACTTGGCTAGGTCTCCCCGACACACAAGTTTCTGCCGCCTGATGTGTTAGGACGTTGGAGCGCCAAAAAGTATGAAATGCGTTTGAAGAGGGGAAAATATAACTGATACTCGATTTTGGGAAAGTTAGAGATAAATCTCTAATTAAAAATTTAATTAGTAAATAGGATTTAAGATGATTGATTATACAAGAAAAGATTAGTTAAAATAATAAATTCCACAAAGAAAAGATAGTTTGCACAGAAAATTATTTGAATATAAGGAATTAATTTATACATGGAAAAGATGACTTACGCATAAGAGAATTTTATTTACATAAAAGGAAATTGAGTTGCATATTGCACATGCACAGAAGAAAATCATTACACACAAAGAAAGATACATTACACATAATGAAAGATAAGTTGCACAAAAAGAAGTTAAGTTGCACAAAATCTTTAGATCCCATTTGCCAATTAAATTTTCAATAGGAAATTTATCCCTAATTTTCCCCTCGATTTTTATATTTTATAATCATTTTACCGACAACCTTATAATCACTTGAAAAAAATCTTTTATCACATAATTTTTTATATACTACCTCCAGTCCTATTTATAAGATATAAATAGAGTCTTATAAATAAGACCGGAAGTAGTAGCTTTTAGTGAGTCATCTGTGCTTAGATTATTGTTAATATTTCAGGAGAAAAATTTGTGGTTGTATTCGAACCTTGGGAGAGACAATATGTCTCAAACGGCAAATGCCATGTATAGGTCGAGGATTCAATATTATTTCAATTCTTATAAAATTTAGATAATAGACTCCAATGAGTCCAACTTAATAATCTTGTTATATTGATCATGCATGCTTACTTATCGTAAAAGTAAGTATTAAACCCCTTCAAACGTTGGCCAAATAAAAATAAAAATAAAACTCTTCAAACGGCTTTATTTTTTTTTTTTATTTTGGGTTTCTTGGGCTTACTTTTTAACAAACGAATGCATTTTATTAATGGCAACAAGCGGCGAAAACCACAAGCCGGCACCATAGCATTTTTGAAGAGTACTTCATCAATTATGGAAATGGAGGAACCATGGCATTTTTGAAGAGGACTTCACTAAACCTCCTGACCCAGTTTCGGTCATGTATCAGACATGGAAGAATTATGTTCAGATTCAAGATATTGACATGCCTACGCACTTGCCTATTAATAAGAATACTGTATGGTCTCCACCTCCGATGGGATGGGTCAAGGTAAATGTAGATGGAGCGATGAGCGCTTCAAGCAACAAGGCAGGATGTGGTTGTGTTATTCGGGATTATGATGGACAATGGAGTGCTGGATTTACTTATTTTCTGGGCTATTGCAGTGCTTTTGAAGCTGAGGAATGGAGCATTCTTAAAGGTCTCCAATTAGCTTGGGGCCTTGGTTTCAGAAAGGTAATCTTAAGAGTCAGATGCAAAAAAATCTTGTGAATATGCTGGAGAATAGAAACAGATGCGTGGGAACAAGTTTGGTCTTCGTCCAGATTCAAAGATTAACGGAATATTCATGGGACTTGAAAATACAAGCTATTTCAAGAGAACAAAACAAATTGGCTGATGCTTTGGCCAAAGAAGGATTGTCTAGAACTTCCTCATTGGATGCTTGTCCGCCACAGCTGAGGATGCTGGTTTGCAAAGAGTCTTTGGGATCTGATTTCCCCATGATTTAGTCTTTTTTTATTTGGGCTCTAGCCCTCTCTTGCAGCAAAAAAAAGAAAACCACAAGCCGGCAAAACAACACTGTCAAATACATCAAGAGTACATTGACAATGCTCATTCGATCAACCATATTTAATTGCTCCTTGTTCAGTATTAATCAAATTAAATTACGTTAATAAAATTTGTTATCTTTTAAATTTGTTTTTATTTTGGTTTTGATCCCTCAATTTTCTTTTCATTTAAAACACTAATCACTATAATCCGATAAAAAATTGGACTATTTTGAAGGAACAACACCTATGATTTAGTACTTGGGGGACCAAAATTAAAATAAAAACAAACTTAAGAAACCAAAAGTTATATTAACCCATTTAAATTCAATCTAAATCATTTAAAATCGACTGGATAGTCCAGATTGTGATTGAGCATGAAATGTGCTCCTAGTCAATTGTGTATTGTGATTGAAAGAAAAAACTAGCTACTTGTCAGTGACATTTCTATGCATTTATATCTTTCAGTTTTAAATATCCATCCCTAGTAAACATGACAGATATGAGAAATTTGTCCAAATTCCATTATTAAAAAAACTAATTTTGTAAAAGTATCTGAAATTTGTTTTAAAACCAACACGCAAGCTATTTTTAGAGGATGCCAAATTTTTTAAAGTTATATGTAATTTATTTTTAATTTATAAAACGAAAGACATTTATATACAATTATAAAATAGTTACATCCTCTGAAGATGAGTTCTGCATTACTGAAAAGCCTAGATTTTTATGCATCTTCACACAATTAATTTTTCTAATAATTGGATTATTTTGAAGGAACAAAACCTATCATTTAGAACTTGAGAGATCAAAACAAGATGATGCCAAAACTAGCCCTCCATTGGACCGGACCCATCCCATTTTTTGCATAAGCTACAATGAAATCTGCAACATGATTCCCCTGTCCTGCAACCAGGGAAAGCTCTGCATGAGGCCTTGTGCCTAGCAACTTCAGAACTTCAGTGAATTTATTCACACATTGCCACTCAATCTTAGCTATTAGATGACTGGTAGCAGCTACATATAGCTCCTGGCAATCAGTCTCAAGATAAATTTTAGGATAATGAAAATGATCGCTCAAGAGAATAGCTTCTTTCAGAGCAAGGCATTCTGACTAAAAGGGAGAGGATGCCTTTGCTATCTTCCATACATTACCAAGAAGCAGGCCTTTATGATCCCCGCACGGAATCCCAATTCCAGCACAGTTAGGACTCTTATTGAAAGCCCCATCAACATTAATCTTGCTCGAGCCAGCTGCGAGGGTTTTCCAAGATAGTTCATAGTTCCCTTATGATGTGACTGCTATTTCTCGGATTCTGAACAATATCAACATTTCTGACTGCCCAAACCTCATTTGGCAATAGGGATGCCGAGGAAACCACTCCCAAGGGATCAATTTGAGTTCCCTGGAAGACAAACTCACATCTTGCTTTCCAAAGCCCCCAAGTTAATGCAGCAATGAGGGAACACCCTTTATCATCAATTTCTTTGTTACACGGAAACATTTGTTTCTTGTCTTAATGTTTCATAGCTACTATATCACAGATCCCACTGATGCTTTTAACGTCTAAATTGAGATAATATATTTAATGGTTTTCTATGTTTAGAAACATTTTCGCCTTTTTAGTTCCTTCTATACTTAGCATAGGATCTCCTTATCTAGTTTACAGAAATTAACTTAGTAGTTTTTTTAAAGTGTCAACAATATATAATAGTTTTTTTTCCCTAAAATGTCCCAATCTTTTATTGAACTGTTGACTTTCTCATATTTAACTTCAAAAAATTTTACACTAAGAAGGGATACTTTAAGAAAAATTTAAAAAAAATGTAATAGACAAAACAAAAGTGTATAGAATATTAAACCAAACCGTTGGCGGAAAAAAAAAACCAAAGCCTTCAACAAAATCCCATTTTTCAAACTTGAAATTATCTACTTATCAATGCTATATAATGTCTTATTAATCATCCAGATCCAGTGGTTTGCATTAAAAAATCAATGATAATTACATATCTGGTTTTGTATTTAAATATTTTTAAAATTTAAAAAAAAATCCCCCTTGAATGCCTACACGAGCAGATAAACGGAAATCTGGAAATCAATTTCCAGGTTGCAACACATTCAAAATCTCCGTTGAAGCCATTGCCAAGCAGCTTGAGAAGCAGGCTGGAAATCCCTTATTTCCTAATCCAAGGACTTTCACACCTTCACCAAAATTTTCAGTTCTCATGACTCTTCTTTTCTCAGATTTCGGATTCTAGCTTGCTGCGCAAGGAACTTCTCTTGCTGAGCCCGTTTTTCAGCAAGGGCTTCCTCATCAAGTACTTGGATTGGGAACCACTCTGGCAACCTTAACCAGCTGCCACTGCCGATCTTCTGTGAGTTCTCATCATCCTGATACACAGACTGATTGTAGTCCCTCAACACAGATTTTAGTTTAAGAAAAGCAAAATCTGCTGTGGTGCCCGCGATGGCCAAAATAGCTGAGTATTTAGCTGCACCAAGTTGACCTCCTACAATAACGAGAGAGAGAAAAAACATTTGTTCAATCCCACGTCATGCTTAAAAGGTCAGGTTTAGACCCATAGTATTCAATCACACAACATGCTGCTCAGGTTTAGTCCTAAATTATTGTATATTTATTACACTTATCCATGCCTTGTTATTATGGGTATGCCATGAGCAACTATATCTAAACCAAAAAATTTTCAAAGTCGTTCATATCTCTTAGCGTAGGAACTCCTACAAACTGCTAAATTTTCTCAAACTCCAAATATCTCTCAACAAAGAAATTTCCACCAAACCCAGGCACTTCAAAAAACTTAAAATGTTGTCTACAACAATGAGCAACATTATTCTTGAAAAGTCCAGGGGGAGAAAAAGTTACAGCTGAGATGATTTTGAATTTTATTTGCATGACCATTTCCAACAATGAAGCATCCTATCAAACAAGATACTAATGCCAAACTATATGGAAATTTTGGAATATTCAGGAAAAAGAAAAATACACAAAGAAATGTGGGGGAGAAAAAAACACAACTTTTAAAACGGAATCACAACAAAGTTCAACATGAAAGGTTAAAAAGGAAACCATCAATCTCATTGTACAAGACTTTGTCTCAGTCTAAATGGCATCATGAGTTATTATACGGTCCAAAATACATATAAGGCTGCGTTGCAGCAAATAGCTCAACGATGAAATTATGTGAAAAGGAAGAAGCAAGAGTTGATTTCTCATCAATATACAAGAGAGCAAAAGTAGCAGAATAGAACCTTGCAGACGACCTAGAAGAGCACCCGTTCCAAATCCAGCTATTGCAGAGTTCAATAGGTCATCAGGTCCAGTTTTTCTAGTTGCAATCACAAATTCACGTGCCCCTGATCAATTAGATAATTCATTCCAGTTCAATTCAGAGCATCAAATTAATTTAAGCATTGTTGTCGAGGCATGGCCTTTTTCCATCATAAACCCATTTCAGTCATTTGATCCAAAGATAAAACAGTTGCCAGGATGCTACTTTTCTTGACACTCCTATTCAACATGTACTCTGCCTATAATGAATTCACAACCATGGAAATGACAATTGAAATCTAGGATGAAATGTTTTTCCTTCTGAAATCCAACAATTGGGGAACCCCTGGTGTTTGATAATATTACACTGATATCATATGATACCGACTTGATCTTCACTTAACACATTTCCCTGCCATGGAGCTTAACAATTCCCATTGAAAAAACCAATAGGAAGCGATCTGGAAACAGGGAAGGGGAGGGGGAGGGGGAGTGGGTTTGCTAAGGGAGACAATTGCTGACAGGAATGCATAACAAGCCTGTTCTTGGTTCTTTGCTTGCTTATCTAATATGCAGAGGCACCTAAAAAAAAATATTCCCTATAATCAGTAAAGCGTGCTTCATTTGTTTAACAAGATGTTATATTCCTTCTCAATATTTGAACTATCTATTCATCAAAGTGTTCGCACAAGGCCAATTAAGAATTATACAGGTGGTGTTACAAGGGACAATGGATTTAAAGACTACAAGAATACAAGGGTCACCCTCTATGCTGGAATGCCTTCAACACACACCCGACATTCAAGGACATCATTTCATAGGTAAGAGGGCAATGGCAGATATGAGTTCTTCAAATGGGTCGTTTGACATGTTCTTAAGACAATGCACCATGTATCAATTTTCTAGGTAGATGGAAGAGTGAAAATTGAAACTTGATGAGTGACTAAGGGAGTGTTTGGATAAAAATCAAACCATAGTTTCAGAAGTACTTTTACGGATTACGAAGTAAATATGTGGAGGAGGTTACCTCGTTTTGCGGAAAAGTACTTCTGAAATCACGGTTTTGGAGCACCCAAACAGAGCCTAACTCTAGATTATCAATTTAAATACACTCAGGTGAAGTTAACTAACGGAGAAAATCTCCTTTCAAACAAAGAGTCCGACCTATTCGCTTTATAAAACAACGGTATAGATTAATTAAGCAGACATTAAAACAAAACAAGCTAGCATGCCCAACCAACATGGTCAAAAACCACCATGACAACATGGCTTTGAAGCTGCATAAGCTCAAGATTTAAGAAAATAAGTAAATACATAATCACACCTATACACACAAATTAAAGAACTTACCACAATAGCAACCAGTGACAATGGCAAAATTAGCTGCATAGCTAGCAGAAACGTTCGCAAGACCGAGCGTTTTCCGATGGTTCGAAACTAACCCAACTCCAGAACCAACAACCCCTGCGCGCAGAAAATCCCATTGCTAACAAATCCACAACAACAACTACAAGTAATCTCATTTCATCAATAAAACTTAAATACAAAAAATAAGGGGAAAAAATCCAGCTCTGAACTCGAACCAATAACAACTGCTTCTCCAGATAAAAACAAAGTAAATAAAAATCGAACCCGAGAAGGAGGCATAAGAGCCCAATAAAATCGTGATCCTACAAACAAACAAGTGAGGAAATAAACAGAATACCTGCTACAACTGCGGGAATAAAAACGCGCTTCTTCCAATCATAAGACGATGAAACAGACGAAGATGAAGAAAATGCATCTTGTCCATCAGGGGCTCCTCGATCCTCACCAACCATTTTCTTCGTTCTTATAAACTCCTACAAGTCAAACAACACCCTCTTTGATTTCTTTTGATCAGACGCTGCCAGACCCACTGGCCACTGCTGGGAGATTGTTGGGGAAGGTCGCAGAAAGCAGAAGCAGCAAAAACGGACGTACTGTAGCGGGGAGTGACCGGCGAGAGCAGAGACTGACCCGATGGGCCCGATCAATGAATTGGACTTAAAATGCCCCAGTAAGATCAGCCTAGCCCAAACAGAGAAGCAACCCCCTGAGCCTTTTTCTTTTGCCGACAACCGAGTTAATCAACTTTTTTTTTAATTAAAATATAGGTATCCTCTTATCAAAGACAATCCTATTCGAGGCCAAAAAAATAATTTTAAACATAACCTATATTGTTGCTAATTTAGACTTAATATTGATTTTACACCCTCTACTCCTTCATATATAAGACCCTATTAATGAGTTTTATGAGATTAAGAAAATTCATTAAAAGTAGTTAAAAGTTAAAAAAAGGTAATGACTTGCCAAACCAATCCTCTATTCAGTATGGTTCATTTGGGAGGAGGAAGATGGGGAGGATGGAAAAGCTAAGAGTGAAAAAGATAATGGTATTTTTTCAAGAATATGTCATGAATATTTCATTAAATTTTGTAAAAGATTTTATATTGAGAATCAATAGGTATGATCTTATAAAAGGAATAGAATGGATGATTCTTCATGTATTGTAAGAATACAAGGAATGGGGCATGCTAGGGCTCCGGTAATTTGTTTTCCTTTCCAACATTTCTTCCCACGGTTTATTCATTCAATCTTGTTCTACACTTTTTAATATGATTGAAACGTATTTAAAAAGGACGAGAGAAAATAATTTTTGAATTATTTAAATCAAATATGACTGCCCAAATTATCTTCTGCCTCATGTGAAACTTACTCCATGAAGAGGATTAAAATGTAAATGAAAATATTATATGAAGTCCATTCAGTTATTGAACAAGTTTGAAGAAGCTGTACTCCCTCCAACTCAATAAGAAACTCTTTCGATCCTTAATATATAACCTATTTAACTAATTTGATTAGATTAAAGATATTAGGTAAGTTAGTTAATTATAAGAAATATGACATGTTTTTCCTAAAACAGCATAATCATCTTTATTAATATCTTTCCTCTCTCTTCTACTTGATTATAGTTGAAGGAGTATCATAGGGGTAATTTAAGAAAAAATAATAAATATGAGAAATATATCTTATATTTACGACCAAAATCAACTCAACAATTAAGTCCTATATTAAGGACAGAATGAGTAATTTGTTATAAGTCCAACTCAATGCCTTGCGTTACTATATATGCCCATTTATGAGGCTAAAAAGTGCAAAGTACATTATTCTGAAGCCAGGGGACAAGGTGATATGAATGCTTTGAGAAGATTTTGTGTTCTCCTAAAACACCAGCATGTTCTTTGACATCATTCCATCAACAGTATCTAGTAATCAGTGCACCAATAAAAGTTCAAAAGCAGTAATTGCTGAGAAAATTTTTCTTCAGAAACAATATATGTTCATGCTCCTGTTGGAACATACACAGCTTTGGACTGCCTCAAATGCATGGGCAGTACCAGTAATGGTTACTTATGAAACAACAATCCTTAAAAAAATTGGAACTTTATCGTTCTCATCACTTTAATCAGATACAACGGAACAAGATACTTCAGTAATATCAGATATGTCCTCGTGTCTTGTATCTATGTTAATTTGTGCTTCTTAGTTACCCTTTATTGGTTTGGACTGTAGTAATATACTTATCTTAGGAATAATGAATACTATCAGTCTGGCCTTATATAACGGCCTTTTTCTCTATATATAAAAATGGAGCTAGTTGCTATGAATGGACTGTTAGAACTAGGGCTTCAACTTGTTCAATCTTAATTTTCAAGGGACTGATACTTCTTGCTCTACATCTTCGCAAGCAGAGGATCCACTTGCTCCTTGCTTACTGTCCCATTCATGTTTCTGCACCGGAGGAAGCTCCGACCTGCGTGAGCCCGGGCCAATCTTTCTCTTGTGTTCTAGAATAGTTTGCATAGAACAAGTAAAATGTAAGAACAGAATCTTCGAAAAGCATATCTGCAAATTGGCTAAAATCCTTTATTCATCCCCATAGTTTTTCACAATTTTTACTATAGTCTTTATAGTTAAAAAATTCGTATTTAATCAATGTACCATAGATTCTACAGACATGATCAGCTAAGTGTCAGTTTCTCACTCTTAACATGTAAGATCTATGTCAATAAAATGTGAGTGTAGTTGGCCATACCAGTTCAGCAAAATCTAACGGCACACTGACAGAGATTTAAAGACATAGATATAAAGTTCTGAAGTATAAGGATCAAATAAAATATAAGTTACTCTATAGACACCAGCGATTTATCCAATTTTAGAAGAGAAATAATACTTTTGCTGGTTATTGCCTGCCTCGTCATTGCAAGAAATTCTTCCCATTTGAATTTACGCAGTTCGCGCTTCTCTGGTTCTGGTAGCTCAAAGTTTGGCTCCCTCCCACACATGAAAGCAGCCCTGACAATAAATAAGATGCAAGCGCAGAGATCGTGGTGAATGGAAAAATGAAAGCCTTTACAATCCAAAATATATACCCCTGACTCCAGGAGATGACAAATTATTTGGCTTGTAGATTTTACACCCTTCTCTAGAAATTTTAAACCTCCAATATTGTCTTTCTTAATGAGGATTTAACAAATGCATATGGCAGCTACGGTAATGATTTTGTGCCGAAAGTTGGAAAGTTGAAGCAGAACTGATGGCTATATAGAAATGATATCACTTGTACTCTTACCATATGTAATACTTTCCATATACAGCCCTGGCCAATCAGAGAACGAGGAGAACTAGCAGCTCTGAAGAAGGTGAATATAATACCATACACGGCCATGCTCAAGCAGATATAACCCAAGAAACTTCCCATATATTAAGAAAATTCATCAAACAATGGCTAAGAAGAGGGGGGTCTCAAACAAATACATGATCTATGGCTGTTACGATTTAAATGACATTTTGAGTGTCAAACCATGTGAACATGAGCCAGTCTGCTCCTCGCAGCTAATCAAATAGAAGCCAAAGATATGCATATATTGTAATGATGATTTAGTAAAGAACGGCCTAAGAAGGACGCCATTGCAGGTAGCAAGAAGCTACAGCTTATGGTATTACCTATCGTACAAGTGAGCAGCCTCTTCCTGTGAACTAACAGTCCCCAGATGGATCTGTTTCTTGTCCACCTTTATAGCTGCTTGCCATTTCATATTTTTGAAATAGACACCTCTCATGAGACATGCTTCTTGATTATGTGAATTCTTTCTCCTGTGCCGCTTTCTGCGCTTGATAGGAGGTCCTGAAAAATGAGGGCAATGAAAGCCATCACCAGCAAATCAATAGCCATAAATAACTTGAAAAAATTCTCCAAAAGATGAAAACTGATTGGTGAAACAAAACTGTTCCAAAACAGAATCCAGACAAGTAAACACCCAAAACATGTCTGCCAACTTCAGATCCACTAATGAACTATTGGGCCAGCAGGTGATTTATCAGTAGCTGTAGCTGATCACACAAAGTGAGCTTACAGGATATCCATTGATTTATCAGTAGCTGTAGGTGATTTATCATTGATTCGTTATAATTGATTAACGTTGCTTTTTTCTGTATTTTAGTATCTTCAAAACAATATTTTCAATAAAGCTGATAAACTCGTATGGGAAATCTTCCGATGATGAATTGATGAATCCATTATTGATGACCGCTTAAAAGGTCATAGGAGTGATCAATTAAATGAATCAGCTGTATCAAATCAGCTCATTAAGCAAGCATTAGTTGTCTTCTGGAAACTCATTTAACACTGCTGTTCCAGAAAGTGAGAAAGCTAGTAACTATACTCGTCTTCACAAAGTTATGGTGAAGAGGTATGAAGAATTTAGCACATCTTTGAAGGTTAAGAGGGAATCAGGAAAGTCTCGTAAGTGACAGAAAATATGATTTGTAGCATACCCAAAGTAAGGGATATAAGTTACTTTATGTAGCACACATCATCATTAAATCTTCCAAAACTACATTTTGGCCTGGTCCCTTCATTTTCTCCCAAATTCTTGGCCTCCCCCATTAACTCAGTTCTCGTGTTAATGTTTCATGAGAACAAGATAAACTACAATATTATGCAATTATAGTCCACTACATATTGATGAATATCGATACATTAAGTTTAACAAAATACATAAAAACACTTACTATAAGGCAATATGTAGACTGTAACTTCAGTTAGTTTGTCATAAACTAAATCTCATGCCTTAGGGTAGGAAAAAGATACGTCTCTCAAACAACAAACCTGAAACTTGTTCACTGGGCTGCTCCTTTGATGGGCTAGAGCCAGATGCATTGGAGGAGCCTGGTTCTTCTTTCACAACGGTATTCTATGAAACAAAATTAAAAGACTTCAGTAGAAGATTCTAGCAACCTAAAACATAAATAATTAAAGGATCCAACAGCAAAACTTTCTAATACTTATCAACTTAGAAAATATACGTTACGATCATATCCGTTCATCAAATGCTAAAAGATCTGATTCTAGATGGTATGGCTTATGGATTAGGATGACATCTATATTTCGTAAAGGCATTGATTTTTCATCAAGAAGTTTTCTGGATTTATTCAGCCAATTGAAGAAGTGAAAAAACAAAAATTACAAGATAATTTCTTTAGCACCTTGCTTTCTTCCAACAGACAGTTCGGTCTTTTCCTTTCACTTTGGCGATTAGATAACTGAGCAATGATACCCAGACTCCCAGAGGACCAAAACTAACCAAAATAAATAACACGAACTTTATATATCAAGCTTAGTGATTGGAATTTATAGGTTTTCACTCATGAAATCGCGATGAAAATATATTATATTAAATCAGAACATGTTATCTTAGGAGAGCTGCTAGTACTAAAATTGAGCATAGAACCTCGGATTTTTAGCTTTCTGATGTATTCTGATAATGAAAAAAGAGGATGGCTTCATTGGCTCAAAACTGCTTCCTAACCCAGTGCTTCAATTGGATATGCAGGCATGCAATAAATTATTAGAAGAGTGGTTACATTTCTAATTAGAGAGTAGTTCATCCATATGTCACACCGAGCAAAAGAAGACACATGATGGGATTATGGAGACCGCCAACCTCAGATACTATCTTTTTTACTATTTTCTTCCGCAATGATCAAATGGAGGTCCGAACCAAAGACCTCTCACTCCATACCTAGCCACACCACTAGCACTTTCAGTGACTTCTATTTTTCCATACAACATTTACTGCTTCTAATTGTATTTCTTACACTGTCCAGAATGCTTGTATCATCTGATGCCACAGGATTTGAGCTCTTAAGTTTAGCACGCTGAGTTGATTGTTCATAAGCAATTAAATTCTCACAATACAGAGGAAGTGGAGTGACAAAGGAGCTGTTCCCTGCAAAGGTCCGGTAACTTTGGTAAATAGCGTCAACTCAGTCTAAAATACAACTCACCACAGTAGCCTCTAAACAACCCAAAGCATGGTTATCCTCCTTCCATTAGGAACAGTTCACAACAGATATGATTTTACCAATATTTACCTGAGCATAGTCCCAAAAGTCTGCGCCTTCTCAAGCTTACCATGGTAATTTGCAATATCTTAACAAGTCATTAGAGCACAATGTTTAACGCAAAAGCCTTCCTATCATACCGATCTTTTCCTTGGACACAGGAGCTAGAACACAGTCAAGAGTTTCAGGCAGATGAAAACTATTAAGTTAGAGCTATGAAGGAAGAAAACAATTGAAAAAAAAAAGAAAGTAAAATGTAGCAAAACTAGGTGAAGAGAACATGTAATAACAAAATAATTCACAACAAATGAGTAATGAGTGGTGACTATGCCATTTGCAAAAGATCTACTTATAGTATTTATAACATAATTATATGGTCTTCTTAGCCCAAGTACCTAAAACAAGTGGATAAATATCGGAGGGTAGCGAAAAAGGGAAAAAGCCACTCATAATGAAACATTAAGAAAGAGATTCTCATGCAAGGACGGCTAGCAGTAAAATTAAAGCAATTAATCGGTAATGCCTCCACGCATAGACCACCTAACCCAAACCTATATGTATAAACAAAACATTAGAGTAACAGATAAACCTGGATCATGATATGATTATAGTCTCCTTTATGTCGAATGAACCTCTATAAGAACCACAGAAATCGACAGTCCGATAACAACAAAAGCAGAAGGTATGATTAAACCTTGAAAGCTCGCCCGCGATAAGTTGATAGCCTTTCTTGAAGGTTAAGAGAAACTAAAGTTGACAAGAACAAGTTGATATTGTAATTCACACACAATCAAAACCCCAGAGACCCGTAATATTGAATGGGATTAGAATTTGAAAACATGAGCTCCAAATCTCTCTGATTGGGCAGAAGTCAACTCATTTAGCCACCCACTTTGTCAAAGGGATGACCCGATTGACCATAAACAACATTTTACCAGAACCACGCATTCGAATTACCCAAAGGACCAAAATTCAGGAAACACCCATAAGACCAAGTAAACAAGGAGGAGGACCAAGTTGTTTTAATTTTCAAGCCGTCAACGCAGAATGCCCATGACTAAGAACAAGAGAAACCCACAAAGAGACAACAAAGAAAAGCACAAAGACATTGAAGAGAGGAGGACATTATTGGCAGTACCTGAACCAAAAGCGTCGGATGGGGTGAGAATTAATTGCTGAGAAGGCGCAGAACCCAGAAGACAGAACTCACGAGGGGATTAGAATCTAGCGGAAGAAGAAGGTGGTAAGTATGGTATGAGTCTATGAGATATTGTATATGTTGTTAATTGTGGCTCATGCATCTGTCTTCTACCACCTTTTTGTTTTCATGTTTCTCTCCTCCCATTTTATGTGTGGGCTGGCGAGAGAGAGGTCGTAGTGGTGGAGGAGGTGGTATTATGGCGTGGAGAGGGAGAATCTTAGAGAGAGAGGGTTGGACGAGAGAATGGGAACGTAGTTACTGTGCGGAGTACTTTGGTTTATTGCTGAATGCCAATGCTGCCCTTTGAATGACCCACGCATACCATTGGATTTAGGTGCGCGGAAGACATGGCCAATTTACCCTGTTACCCTTACTATTTTAGTACTGGTATGCGAGTTCAATTATTCATCACCCAAGTCAAAAGTCAAAACCAATTAAAAGAGGTAAGGACACTAATGTACCTTAGTCATTAATGCTTGCACATCATTTATTTATACATCTTAGCAAATGAGGTTTAAGTGGTTAACAACATGGGCCACACATTTCCATTGTAATATATTAATACCTAATAATTTTTTAGGCATATCATTTATCTAGAAATTCCGTTTAATAATTTTATTAATTCTTTTTATCTCTTTCACTCTTCTTTACAAGACTAAAAACTATATGTTCAAATTTTATTACCAATGATTCTATAAACTTAAAGAAATTGTCTGGTCTATGTGGAAGATGTATGATTTTATTTGGAATTGTAGTGAGAGAATAAATCATATCATTTTAATGTAATTAAGAAACTAGAAATAGCAACTATCCTAAATTAATTGAGAAGCAAATATTCTACCCATATAAAAAAGAAAGCTTTCAATCCTAACAGTTGAAAGTGTAAAAATTGATTCAACAAGTAACATAAAATGGGATGATGATCAAATTAAATTTTTGTTCGGAAATAATAATTATAATATAATAAATATTTTCATATCTTAATTTTCATGCATCGAATTTATTTTCCATTTTATTTATGTCATTACATGATGAGACAAATCTAAAAATTAGAAATTCAATTTGTGGGTGTGGGGGTGTATGAGTGAGAGGGGCAAATATGGAAGAAGGGAGTGGAGGGGGAAAGGGGACAGAAGGGTAATAATCGAGAAAGGCGAGGAGAAGAGGAGGGAATAAGAGGAAAGAATGAGGTGGTTGGGAGGGAAGGGGAGGGACACCGACGAAACGGTGATTGGATGGACGGCCTTATAAGGCCAATTAGATAATGTCCCGCCAACCTCTTCTCGCTTTTTGTTTTCTTTCATTTACTCTCAAAAAAAAGAAGAAAAGAATTCAGTTTTATCAACAGGTTGATTGCCGCCCGCCTATGTTCTCACTTCTCACCGCTATAACCCCACTTTCTATCAACGAAACTCTTTTAGAGTCTCTTTAGAATAGTTATAAGTATTTTATAAACTACTTTTTAATAGTGATTTACAGGATACAAAATAAATATATGAGAGTAACTTTATCTCGACTTACGTAAAATGTGTTTATAGGAGATTTTCACTGTTTTGCCAAATCAAAAAGTACTTTTAAAAAGCACTTTTCCGTAAAACGAGACATTATACTCTTCTATATATTTACTTCGTATACCGTAAAAACACTCTAAAACTATAGTTTGGTTTCCATCCAAACACTCCCTAATTCTTAGTGGCAAAAATTCTAATTTTGATTTTGACTAATGCAGGTAAGTTTTTCATAAGCAAAATATTGGAATTGGTGGTCTAATTATGATTGAATCAGGAGAAATTTATCTATTCATTATTAAAATTTATATTATTTAATTATATCTGGGGTCGTTGTCACAGCTGAAATATGCCTATTACCCTGGGATACCGGATAGAGTAATCCAAAAAAAAAATTATATTATTTAATTAAAATATATAAAAACATGATTAGAATTTATAAGTAATGTTTAAATGAAAAAAAAGGCATTCAATTAAACATTCACATATAAATCACACATAATTTAATAAAATATAATTATTAAAGTACAAATACAATAGCCTATTACTTCCTCCGATTCAAAATATAAGCTAAACTTTGTTAGAAGGTTTGATTTTTTTATAAGATAATATTTACTTTTGTCTAATCATTTAATGAGTTTTTTTTTCAATTTTATCTCCATATATTCTCTTTATTCTTTGATTTGTTTGTTGCATCTTTTATTTATTCATTTCATTAATAAGGACAGATTTGGAAAAAAAATACATAGCTTACATATTTATTGTTTCAAACTGATTTTAATCGGTTTCTTGATAAACATAAATAGATAAAGTTTAACCTATATTTTGAACTGGAGGTAGTATTTTTTTTTAACTCAAAATAATGTCATTTTAAGTTTAGCGGAGAAAAAAAATTAATTTAATTTGATCAATTTATCCAAAATTTTTAGGCAGACCAATAAAAGAATTGACTCATTAGTTCATCACCAGTTTAACCGGAAACAACTGCAAGTTTTGAACTATGCTTCTTTACAAGATAAGTCATACTTTTACTAATCAAAGAAACTTTTGATAGCTCCTTCTCCAAGTTTTCTCATTCGCATGTTAGAGTTAATTAATCTCGTATATATATTTATGTTTTTTTTTTTTTTGCTTTTGCCAGACCTATGTATATTTATGTAATAAGTTATAGTGAGACTTCTTAGTTCTTATATATGCATTTTTATTTTTACCTTGGTTCAAAGATAGGTTTAAAAGGAGAGGACTGATAGGATTTATTTTTTTAAAAAAAATTACTTATCATAATCCGAAAATTGATTAAGATTTTGTATATAGAGGGAGTTCAATTTTCAAACAAAGGTGGCTTTAAATAAATGACATACATGTTGTAGTTTTATTTAAAACTATGGTTGCCGTGGCTTTTAATGTGAAACTAAATAAGCCGTCAATTTGTCGGGTCACATTTGACCTGAATTATATATAAGAATATTATGCATTTAAATTATAATTATGTTTTTCACTCAACTTATTCTGAATTTATAATCATATATTACCTCCGGTCCTTAATATAAGAAGTAGTTGATTAATTTGATATAATTAAACTTATTAAATTATTAAATCTGTCACGAATTAATATTGTTTTTCAAAAATACTCCTCATCTAACGATTGAAATGCTACCATTACATTAATGATCCTTAATTAAGAAAGGTAGACATTGAGGGGCATTATTAAAACTAATAATTTAACACTCGAAACATTTGTATTTGTAATTGCATGCTCCTCCTATTTAATATAAGCAATAGATGAGAGAGACTTGACACTACACATTTATATTAAGAAATGATTTTGTGTCCGGAAACATGTTAACTTTCCTATTTTATCCCAACAAATGAGTATAATATAGAATAGTCGGATAATAAATGGATAGTTGAATGAATATTTATCGAGGGTATTTTTATGAATCAAATGATTAAAGATTCAATAAACATAATAAAAAAATCAATTATCTTTTTCATCATCTTTTATTTTAAAAAAGAACTCACACATCCATCATAATTTCACGAGAGTCAAACCCACAACATCACGTTTAAAAAAAAAACACTTAAGGAAAGAATTTAGTACTATTAGGGTTAGAAAGCCTTGGTAATTTTCTTTTAAATTTTATTCCCTATATTAGGTAATGCAAGGAGAAATCTGGATCATCTCTGAACTTGTTTGGCATCACAGGGAAGGCCACAGATTGACTTCTGTGGTGTGAAAAGCTACTTCAAGCACTTTGATGATGTTTGGTTGGGTTTCAAACCCCCTGACTTTTTTGCTCAAAACTTATTTTTCGGTTTTTTTACTTTTTCTTTCAAATTTAAACATTTTAAAATTAATTTTTCAATATATTATCTAAATAAATTATTTTTTAATTGATATTAGTAAAAAAATATATCCAAACATGAATTACATGATAGAAATTAATTTTCATCATGGCTTCAGTTTCCAAAACTTAATTGATATAAAAATTATCTTCAACAATGTTAATCTAAACAAGCCCTTAATCATCTCTACTCTCACAAGCTTTACTCTTCTTCTGGTTTTTAATATAAAAGTTTGTTTGACTTTTATTTTAGTTATAAATATAAGAATCTAATCTACTTTATCTTTCATATTTATATATTTTTTCTCAAGGTAGACATTGTGATAATGGCACTTCTAAACAATACACTTAATTAGTAAAGATATTTTAAGAAAAATAACACTTATTTATTGTAAATAACTAAGTTAACTAGTTTTTATATTAAGAAATGGAGGTAGTATAATATACTCCTCTGGTCCTGTTTATAAGGTAAAGAGATAAATTTTTTATATGAATGTATAATTTTACCCCTTATTTATTATTTTATTGATTTTGTTTATATGATGTATAATATATATTAAATAGAGATAAAGTTGAAAAGTATTAAATTTTAAATAAAAGTTAATAGAATTTAATATTTTTTTAGTCTGTGTAAAACATACTAAAAGTATCTTATAAATAGGATTAGAAGAATAGCAAGGGGGATAAAAAGTTGAAATATCTAATATAGTAACTGGAGAAGAAAAATACGAGTGGATGAGGAAAAGGACAGGGGAACAAAAGAAGAGGCGTTATTAAATCACGATGGAAGAATTATTAAGGCCGGCCCGGCAGACAGAAAAGTGAGGACACGTGGCTCACATCCACAGGAAAAAGCAACAGCGAGTACTCGTGTTTTACAGCGGCCTCCTGCTCCCAAACACGGCCCTTCGGCTCACCCATCCGCTTGCTCCCTTTTATTAAATTCGAGCCCATGTATCCACCCGGAGCTACGAAAGAATTTTAGTGTCAGCTCGAACTTAAAATTCGTTTGATACGAAACATTAAAAAAAATTATAATTTTAAAAAATTATTTAAAAATTCTTTTA